ATAAATGAAAAAAAAATTGTTAGAATAAAAATTTCATGTCTGATACTTCTATTGAAATCCCCAACAAACCTGCAAAGTTTCACAAAAATCAGAATTTTCAGGTTACCAGAATTCCCTTGCAAATAAAAACTTCCTATGTTTACCTTATGTTAAGAAAAACGTATACAAATTACTTCTTTATCAGTAACACGCACTAAGTCATAACCTAACAAACCAACAAATCTTTCTATTAAATTATCATTTTATACCGCTCCCCTACTGAATTATATCGTTCTCTTTTACCATGTAAAAGAAAAACTCCCGAGAAAAAAAACCATACCTATTCACTTAGCATGTTTCACCAGTAAACCAACAAAATACCACACGTCACAAACAATTTCTACCTGGTCCATTGTCCGTGTCGGCTCTCCTCTTGTCAGGACGCCTCTGCGAGTTGGACGCTCTGTATTGCTGTTGCTGTTGTTGCTGCCTGCGTTTCGCCTGGTTCCTTGCCATCTTCTCCTTTTTCCTGGTGTCTGCGCTCGAGGCCTCTGGTAGATCTCGATCCAGCAGTTTGTTCGTATCCTCGATAGCGTCCTTCAGCATGTTGTTCATGGCGGTGGAGGATCGGGAGGATGCGTGAACGTGATCCAGAGGCTCCATTGCTACCACGTCGGGCACCGGTTGCACGTATTTCTCGAGATCGACCCCGATATCACGGCCGATGCTCGAGAGTAGATCGATCCCCTCGAGCTTCGTGTAGGTGGGCTGTTCCTCTGGATAGCTGTCAGTGTCGGTGTTGCTCTCGGAGTCGTCGTCGGCGGAGCCGTTCGACGTGACCGTCTGACGGTTGCCTATTTTGGAACGGGCCTGGTGAGGCAACTCCTTTGCCTCGCGTATCAGGTCGATGTGCTCCACCACGATATCCTCCGCCTGAAAAAAATACAATGCTCGTTAGCCGCTTCCTTTCGCCTGGCTGTATGTACAACTGGGAGAACACGATGCGGTTTGTCGTGAGGTTTCTTCGGTATTACGACGGTTCGGTCAGCTTCTGCTTTGTGATGTGCTCAAGGTGTTCTTTTTTACGGAGTGATAGAGATACGAAATATTTAGAATTGTGGACGTTCGTTTGTGGTTTTTATTGGATCATTGTGAATGTCTGTTACGGTATCGGTGGATTCTTGAGATTAATTAGCTTGTGGTGCAGTGGTGCAATGAATTTTCACTAATTTCTGTGTTTTTATTTTTTTAAATATTAAGAATCGTGGACGTTGATTAGTGATTTTTATTGAACAATTTGATACGATATCACTGGATTTTTGAGATTTATTAATTTGTAGTGCAGTGGTGCATTGAATTTTCACTAATCTCTATGTCCTTAGTTTTTATTTTTTTTTAATATTGAGAATTTTAGACGTTCGTTGGTGATTTTTATTGAACCATTTGATAGTGAATGTCTATTATGACATCGGTGGATTTTTGAGATTAATTCATTTATAGCACAGTAGTGCAATAAATTTTCACTAATTCCTATTAGACATCGATTTATGCTTAAATCTCTTGCCTCATAACGAGTCACACTCATGGCGTATTAAAAAAGTGAATCTTCTTTATAATAAACTTTGAATTTTAACTCTGGAAATTATTAAGTAAAAATCATTCATAGTATCTTAATCATTTTCATACAACGTATCATTAAAACGTTAAGTACCTAACATTAACAGATCTAGCTATTAAAGAATCGTAAGACAAGGGATGAAATTTACTTTGTGCCCATACAAATTGTTACTTTATCTCGTACAAACGTCAAACACTCTCCGCACAAGTGGAAAAGGCTACTACAATGAAGTGTCTATCAAACAGATCGATTACTCGTGAAAACTCGAAGGTCCAAATCTTCACAGGAACAAATCTACAAACCTATCAATCATATCCGAGCACAAAACAAACAAATACCAATTTCGAAACACAATTTTCTCCACGATCACCGTCGAATTTCTCGCTGTTCGTACCGTTAACGACTGGTTCTACATCATTCCGTCAGCTCAGCTGATTCACATCTCCGCTAATGGATATTTAGTTACAATGTGGAGCACGGGAATCGTCCGAAAGTTTCAGGAAATTTATGATTAACGTTGTCGCGCGATTACTCGTCGCCGGCTCGCTGTATTACGCTCGCTTCAAAACGTCGAACGCACCGTCGTCGACACTCGTTGAATACATTAATGTGTGCGTGTGTGTGTGCGTTCAGCGTGCAGTCATTAGTCTTCCACATGCAGAAGTTGCGACACGGACTTGTATAAAGTGAATTCTCGTTAATCTCGGTTGCCCATGTTTTCACCGCAACAGGAAAACCATTTTTACCAAAGGACCTCTCTCGTCATTTTTGTTTTTTTTTTTTTCAATCCTTGCTCTTTGAAAAATTGCCGCAATTAAGCGGCTCTTTCGATCCAACTAGCCGGTGGATTCAACGCGAGGCGCAATCTAGATGTCGTTCACGTAATGTCAGCGGCTTTTTTACAAGTTCGTTGTAACAGGTGCGTATATACGCGATAAGGTGTGTATATATGTAGTTGTCCGTTAATCTAAGCGACGTATGTATAACTTGCGCCACCGATGAAGATGCAAATGAGAGATTAATTCGTTTGCAAAGTGTGTTACTCGTACCGTGTCACTTTATACAATTTTATCCTCTTGATAAAACCTCGGTATTCTAATTTTCTCCTCAAATCGTTCTCCGTGAAGGAGTGATTAAAACTATATACCGCTTCGACGATGACGAAGAAGAAGAAAGAAAAAGAAACAAAAGAAATGGTGAAAAACCCACCTCACCAATCTCACTGGTCTTTCCAGAGTCCGGTATTTCCTCGATCTCCGGAAATTGAAGGGTCTCCTTGACGCTGGTCGTCAGTTCGACGATCTCGACCTCGACCGGGATCTCCCTTTCTTGTTTCTCCTTCAAGATCGCCTCGGACAATTCCGTGGTGTTCTCCGCTACCGTGTCGGCTAGCGCCTCCTCCGGCTCCAGTACCGTCAGATGCGTCTCCGCCTCGACAACACAGTTCACGATATCCGATTTCGACGTGAACACCTTTTCCTCCGTTCTCGAGTCTTCAACGCTTTTCACGTAGTTTATGCATTTCTCCGATGGCGGCACCACCGACTCGTACAAAGATGTTACAGTCTGGAAACAGAGTGGTTTCGCGACGTTCAGTATCGCGGCCTCAGCGCGGATGCTTAATGAGAAGGTTGAAACACAGCGAGGCTCTTACAAGCTGATCGTTGCTTTCTTTGCTCGTGTTCAACGAGAACTCACGGACTATAGAGTTGGCGCCACTGATCGTAGTAGCGTTTCTTTTTTCTTTTTAGTTTTTCTCTCTCTTTCTCTCTCTCTCTCTCTCTCCACCTTTTGGTTCGAATAGTTTTAATACGTCGTCTTGGTTTACCTTTTTTTTTCTTGTATTTTTTATAGAGACTGAACTAATTTTGGCTTAGTAGGAAAAATTTGAGGTACAGCGGGGGTATAAATAGAGCTCGAGCTGGGACCGAGAAGGAATTAGAACATAATTGTGCATTCCTCTGTTCGGATGTATTTTAGACCAGCTGGGACAAAAGTGGCGCTTGAATGAAAGCTGCAGCTAAATTTAAAACTCGCGCAATCGGTTAATCATTATTAGCCGGCACTGTGTGCTTTCTCCTCTTTTTCGATTTAGGGTTGGAATTATTTGTGTTTGGTCGAGGAAGATGTTCGGTGGAATCTTAGTTATTGCTGGGTTTGTTTTGCGGTTTGAACAGGATTATCTCCGTAAGTAAATACAGATCTTCGGAAGATATACTTTTACAAAGGAATCGTTTCGTGTAATGAATTTAAAGTAGGTTTTTTAAGTCCATTCAGATTTTAGAAGCGTTTTAAACAAGTAATAAAACTTTCAACTTCGTGGATTAAATTTACAATCTTTTCACTCTTTGATATTCCTCACTGAAAATTTTCTTAACGAAATCAATCGAGGTGGCAGAACTTCAAAGCTGTTTTTTTTCTTTGTCATCAGAGAGATGGGCAAAATTCGTTGAACGAGTTCATACAAATTTAACGTATAAGACGTAATTAAGTTGTAGAAGAAACTGGAGTTATATCTGATAATTTAGATATGAATGAAAAGTAGCACTTAATTAAAACAAAGGTTTCTTTCATTATTTGTCCTTCATTGTTTAATATAGTAAGTAATAAACCATCCTACAATTCGTAAAGATGAAGCTTTAGTTCAGCTAGCAGTTCAGTAACGTCCTCTATACACATAATCCTCTTATCAATCATCTTCCTCGAACAAACACATTGTCCAGACGCGAAAGAAAAATGTCTATGCTAACAGAAATACATATGAAGAGCAAATATGCAAAACAAGTTATACCTGTTTTACCTTATTTTCCATAAATCACGAATTACCTCTCAAACTTAAACCTATCGATCCAAATTCACGATGTTCCTTTCATAAATTCTGTTTGGCCTGATATTTCATAATATCTGATACCTACAGGACTACAATCGTCATTGGTTACCAAATAAAAAAAAAAAAAAATTAAATATATTTCCTCTCTACGAATTGAGAATGACGTTATTAACTATTTCGTGATCAGATTTTTTAATCTACCGATCATCGTGTCTGTAATGTCTTATTATCACGTCTGTCACGTTTAAATTAATATTAATTCCTGTTCGAGTACTCGAGCGGGTCGTGTGCGTTCCATTGGTCACGAAAGGGTTAAATAAAAATTAAAAAAAGAAAGATTTGTGACCAAATTGTTATTTTTAAAAATTTATATCATCTACCGATCATCGCATCTGTAATGTGTACTAAATTAATATCAATTCTTGTTCGAGTACTCATGTGGGACATATGCGTTCCGCTGGTCAAGAAAGGGTTAACTCAAATTCTAAAAAAAAAGAAAGATTTGTAACCTCATTATTTTTTAAATAATTCTTCTTTTATCTACTGCTCATCACGTCCATAATGCATGCTAAATGGGTCACGAAAGGGATGACTCAAGTTAAAACAGAAAAAGAAGAAATAGATACCACTTGTTCTACGCATAATTGCTCTTCACATATTCACCTGTATATTGAACTTCGGTTTCTCATAGAAAATTTTCCTGTCGTTCCTCTGGCCGCACAGGTGATTGATACTGTCCTCGACGTTGTTGTTGAACTCGTTGTCGTTCTCCGCCGGCGTTGCGTCTATGTCGTTCAGCCTGGTGTAATCGGAACAGCTCTCGTGCTCGTCCTCCGTCAGATCTGTGTCCGACAGAAGAGAAGACGCCAGGTGTTGAAAGCCGGGATAGTTAGGGTTGATGATACCGCGACAACCTGCGGGCAGATTTCCTTCCTCGGACCAGTCGGACAACTCGGACGGTGTCAACTCGTGGGACGAGTCTTCGTGAGAGGAGTTACGCCCTGTGGAATTTCATGCTGGTTGCACATTGCCGGAATACTGAATAATCGTAGCGCGCCACTGACTCATCGCAGCTGCCCAGACACACGGCTCCGGGGATTTGATTGAACCATTTGATTAAAATACACGCCAGTTCTGTCTTGTTTTTTTTCTTTTTTCTTTTCAACGTTTTACACGCAGCTCGAGCTGACCAGCGCTATCTGGCGCAAGTTGCGCGTTCTTTTTTGGTTTTATTGTGAATTTTATGGTAGGCAAACTGGTTAGAAAATCGAAGCAAGATGGAATTCGAGGTGGATTGAAGTTGAAGATTAGGTCGTTGCTAACGGTGGATTCGTAAATGAAACTTTAAATTGTGAACTAATTTTTGTTGATCGAAACGAGCTCTGGTAGATTCGACATATTTTTGCCAATCAGTTGCAAGTGAATTTAGTTTATCATTGTAAAAATCAGAATATTTTCAAGAAATTTTGTAATATGTCAATCTCGTTGTTGAATTTTTTCCGTGTTCCACTTTCAGTTCGTACAGAAAATCTTAAAAATAATTGACATTTTATTTAGAACACTGCCATAGCATAAGCAACGACCTAATACAATTTTTGTTTGTATTTATGTAAGTATTATTCCCCGGATGTTGAAAAGTGAGAAGTATATAACGCTAGGAGTATTTTGGAGTTTGTGTCGAGTGAAGTAAGAGTGTTTCACCTAGTCATTTTGTTTCTTTTAAGTTACAGCATTGAAGTTATTCGCGGAGCAAAGTATAAATTATGGTGCAGTTTGAAAAAGAGATAATTACAAGAGAATCTTGAACAGAATTTTACGTCACGATTTTGTTAGTTTTTGTTTAAATAATTATTCCCCCCTTGTTGTTAAGCCACAAATTACACCCTATCCCGTGTACATCAAGGTCCTCTACGTCATTAAGCCATAAAAATCGCGGTTAATGTCAAGGTCCAAGTCATTCTTAGAAAGCTTGGGGATCAGTCTGAAATATCGAAGTTCGTGCCTTTTATGATAACGTGGAAGCATTAATTTCCTTCGTATCCTTTAAACGAACCACATAATTTCAATACTAAATGATTTCTTCCTAAATGAAATTGTCGCGTTTCGATTATTCTACAAATACGTTTTCCAAAAGTCTATATTTGCAAAGTTTTCACTGTATCTAGGGTTTGTATAGTATAGTTGAATGTTCTAGTGAAATCGTGATGTTGAAATAAAGTTACGTAGAAAGTGAAAAAAAATAATCGACGTGAAACTCACAATTTTATTTGCCAATTTATAATTTAAACACGCGAAAGTGTAACTCTCAAAAAGACTGGTACCAGCGATGAAACAACATTGACAAGAAAAGATTCTCGTTCTTCTGTGCAGCATCTTCTTTTACATCTTTCAAAGTTTCTCAGTTTTTTCTTTTTTATTACTAGTTGACACAGCCGATAACATGAATACAATCATCGTCTTCACGTTGATATCCTCAAGGTCCAACGATGGACTCTACCTGAAGTCTCACCAAAACAACTTACAATCGAACCTTTCCCACGAGTTTCTCCATTGTAACGAACAGTCTAAAGAAATCTACCTTCCATATCCGGATACATGCATGTGAAACAAAAAACTGCAGGGAATAAATCTAAAACTAGTCGGACAAACTACTTAATTTCAATCTGAACAAACTTCTTCGTACTCGATTCAATCAAAATCTCCATACTCCATTACGTTACTACATACACAAAGCTCATAGTTAGCTACCTACGATTGAAGACTTTGCTGCAAAAATTTCATCTCCACTTCTCTGAAATTCTATAGTATATTTGCTATAAAGAAATTCCAGAGGACTGTGCTTTATTTAAAAAAGAAAAACATACAGAATTGTAATTATAAAAAAATTGAATTTCTGATCTTTTGGGGGTTTTCTTTTGTTTCCTGAAAAATCTTCTCTTTGGGAGGTGAATGGATCACAGAATTATGATAATAAAAAAACTGGAAATTAATATGGCAAGAAAAAATTGAATTTCTGATATTTTGGGGTTTTCTTTTTATTTCCTGAAAAATCTTCAGTTTTGGAGGTGAATGGATCAAAGATACGGAATTATAATAATAAAAAAAAGTGTGACTACAGTATATTCTCCACAAGTGTCAGACTGCAAGGAAGCTAAACCTGACACTCGTAGAGTCGGGGACTACGTTTTCGAGCCTCCCGCCCGCCTTTGTAGTTTGCCGAACGTAGACAAGGACAGCGAATAAAAGATAAGCATGAAACGACCAAGTGATTTAAATATCAACTTTTTTAATTTTAAAATATAATTTCTTTAATTTTTACTTTTTTTCATCTGGAATTTTATTTAACATCATGTTGGTGAGATTTTTCTGATGAAAATGATATCAAACACGATATAATTTGAACAACATTTACTTATTAACACGTTCACTGTCGCGCCAGATTTACAGGTTGCTGTCAGGCGGCCACAAGAAAATACATTTTAAGCATAGGATTATAGTATTATGCTTTATAATTTTTTTTTTTCAATTGAAAATAATGTCTAGCTAGCTATGACGTTCAAAATTTTTAGTTGACAACATTTATTTTATTTTAATTATTCTAAACATTTGAGGCACTCCAGTCACTGATGACCACCATGGCCATATCGAGGAAACAATCTAACGTTAAAACTTATTGAGTGATTAATTTAATTTCATAATATATCGCTTTAGCGAGCCACCGTTTGGTTGCCAATTGTTTATCACATAGAGTCGGCCTACCTCCACGTAAAAAAAAAAAATGTAGGGTCGATTCGACAAGTGTCAGTAAAATGTAGGGTCGGTTCGACAAGTGTCAGTAAAATGTAGGGTCGGTTCGACAAGTGTCAGTAAAATGTAGGGTCGATAGCAGCAGAAAAGCTGCTAAACAATTAGAATTAAATGTAACGATAGAAATTATTGCAATAATGCGTAATGCAATTGAAAAATTGAAAGAATCAAAAGAAAAATCGCGAATTCGTATCTTTTTCGATTCTAGAATATAAGAAAATTTGAATAAAATACGCGACGAGAATTGGGGAGAAGCATAAGTTAAACGCGTAAAAATATTCAATAATAAACGAACTAGGGATGAAGCTATTATTTCAATACGCGATGCACTGACTCTAGTATTTACTAAAATTCAAAAATTCTCGTATAAATTCCGAAAATAGATTATTAATTACGGTAAACTACTGAGACGGTTTAATTTAGGGTGGGCATAGTGCACTCGTTCCAAATCAGCTCACAATATACAATAATAAATCAACTAACTACTTAACATGCAATTCATGCAAATTCCTTGGATGGTAAATTATTAGTAAACAAAATAGCAAGTCATAAAATAAATTCAATATCAGAGAAAATATATGAAAAATTTCAAATTAATTCCAACTGCTGGGGGAAAAGTACATATTGATTGTTATGCTGTAACGAAAAAGCAACCTCTCAAAGTCACTTCAATATTCTATTCGACAAGTCTGAAGAACAAGGATGACTAAAATTCAAATGTTTATTTCCCTAAACCTTCAAAATAATTTCGTAATATTTTATTCGAAGCGGAGTATTCCAAGTCAGTATCGATAATTGAAGAAATTATTTGATTGTATTTAAAAGAACCGAAAGGAGAATATTTAAAGTCTGATATTAAATGTCTAGCAAGTACCAGTAATTGGTAAAATGATTTATATTTGTTTTGGAAGGAAAATTTCTAATAGGTATTAGTTAAAATGAATTGTTATTCAGTCTATTGTATTGAAATTCTAATTGATTCTAATGTATACAAGTGTTACAAGAAGGCTGAGTGTGTACAGGGTGGACCTAGGCTAGCTAGTAGCCCCCGACCACTCTATTCACATCTCAGAACCTTCAGGTCAAAATACGCCGCGAAGTGTCTATGGCCCAGTATAAAGGGTGAATAAATTCGCGGGACATCGGCGGGTCCTTATATACCTGCGGTACCCTCTCCCCAAAGTCATTAGCAAAATCGTCCGTTAGGTCAGGCGGGAAATTTTCGCGGGAGATTTTCGCGGGAGATTTCCGATATCGTAACACGGTATAATTTATCAATTTTCACAATTTTGTTATAAATTTATACTTCCGACAATTTGTTATAACATTGCATATAACAATTTATACGTTTTTACAATATTCTTCAATGGAAACATAGGTTTTAGCGTTCTCGTTACTTACTCGTGGTTAAATTAATTTCGTAGGGATTAAAAATCAGGTTGACCTGTGGTCGTAGATTAAAAATAACCATAGTACAGCTAAATTTATCGTGTTAAATAATTTCTTTTATAGGAATGAAAAATTTATTCAACGTTTGCTTGTTATAATATCGTGAAATGAATTATATTACACATTTTCTCTATTCACACTGAATTTAAAGATTATAACGATTAAAAATCAAGTTGACCTGTGGTCATTTATCAAGAATAATCATAATAAAGCTGAAATTATTGTGTTAAATAATTTTTTTAATACGAATTAGGAATTTATTCAACGTTTGCTTGTTACTACTTGTTACAGTATACTGTCTCGCAATGTAAATTTAAGTAAATTAGGTTGAACTGCACAGAAAATGCACAGAACTGCACAAATAATTCATTTCACGATATTATAACAAACAAATTGAATACATTTGTGATTCGTGTAAAAAGAATTATTTATCACGATAAATTTAGCTGTACTATGGTTATTTTTAATCTACGACCACAGGTCAACCTGATTCGTAATCCCTACGAAATTAATTTAACCACCAGTAAGTAACGAGAACGCTAAAACCTATGTTCCCATTGAAGAATATTGTAAAAACGTATAAATTGTTATATGCAATCTTATAACAAATTGTCGGAAGTATAAATTTATAACAAAATTGTGAAAATTGATAAATTATACCGTGTTACGATAACGGAAATCTCCCGCGAAAATTTCCCGCCTGACCTAACCGACGATTTTGCTAATGACTTTGGGGAGAGGGTACCGCAGGTATATAAGGACCCCCCGATGTCCGGCGAATTTATTCACCCTTTATACTGGGCCATAGACACTTCGCGGCGTATTTTGACCTGAAGGTTCTGAGATGTGAATAGAGTGGTCGGGGGCTACTAGCTAGCCTATGTCCACACTGTA